GTTTGGCCGGGGTTTGTCCAATTCGAAAAAAAACACATGTTCCGTGTACAGGGGGTGTCCCCGGAGGATATCACGGTAGTTTTGACCATTGCTGTATTCAATTAAGCTTCGGGGACAGTCTCCTCGATCTCTCCGGAGAGGTTCGGGTAGAGTCCATGTGTCCAGATTAGGTTAGGTTTCAGTTTAAATCAGCCTTTACGCTCTTGAAATGTGGATCGTAGGATAGTTTTCGTCGCATAACAGATAAAAACCTCATGACTATCGAAAATTCGTTCGCAAATCTGTGCCAAGGAAACCCCGAGTCCTACCCCCCACTCCCTCAACTCTCCCCGAACCTTTCCGGAGAGATCGGCGAGACTGTCCCCGAAGCTTAATTGAATATAGCACATCGTCAAAACTCACCCCTTCATGGGGGTAGGGGTGAACGGGGCAGGGGTGGGTTTGAACGACCGCGATTTCGCTAGCGCCGTTCGAAAGAGGACACAAATTTGAGTCGGGACGCCAAAAATTTCGATTTTCCGATCATTTAAAGTGACAAATTCGGTACCTTTTCTGTCAAATTTTCTACCCCTCTTCACTCTATGGGCTGCACAGGCCGTATAGGGTAGAGCAAGGGATGCGCACTTCGTGAGATCCAAGACGAACCAATGAGACGTCTACAGGAAAAATCTCGACATTCTAGCTCGAAACACTTACACTGATATATAAAGTGTGCAACTCACACACACTTTAAAGGGTTTAACACCGTGTGGCACACCTCTATGTGTGCAACACGAGTTTTGAATAGTTGGAAGTGTTCAACGGGCGTGTTGCACACTTTTTAGTGTTCAACTTGAGCGTTGAGCTATAGCGCTCGACGGTCAGGTTGAACATTTAAAAGTGTGCAACACACCTGTTGAACACTTCCAACTATTCAAAACTGGTGTTGCACACATAGAAGTGTGCCACACGGTGTTAAACACTTTAAAGTGTGTGTCAGTTGCACAATTTATATATCAGTGAGAAAATACGCCGGCTCAAAAAAGTGCGCCGCTAATTTCAAGCGGCAGTGAACTAGATAATTTAGGGGCCCTTAAGCCCTAAACAGGGTGTGGTTCGGCCCCTAATGTGTGGTTTAAGTATTACTTCCTCAACAATTTTTGCATGAAGCCTTTTTTACGATTTAATGGACCATTTTGCCTTATTCACGGTGTTTTCGCCAATAAGTGCCCCCTAGCACCCAAACGGTACAAAATAGAGCAAAACGGACGAAATTTTCGCTCCTCGGGTTCTACCTTCACAAGTTACCCCAGAAGGGCCCATCAACAACATATTTTTCCCACTTCATGAACATTAATATATTTATTTTTTGGCCACTTTTGTGAGCAAAACTCCCTCTAGCGCCAAACGGACGAAATTTAAGTCCCAAGGACTCTACCTTCACAAGTTACCCCTTAGCGGGCCATCAACAACATATTTTTCCCACTTCATGGACCAACCCTTATTTCTTTGTTAGCCCCTCAGACCCACTCAGGGGTGGTTGAGAGAAGTGGCAACAATAATACCTTGAAAATTTCAGACCTCTAGCTCACGTCCTTCTTGGGCAACGGACAGACAGATAGACAGACAGACACAGGGGCGATGGCATAAGCCCGCTTATATAGCTTCTAACCAAAAGAGCGGGCTAAAAAGGGATAAGTCAACTTGACTCGTTTTTCATTCCGTCATATCTCAGGAACTATGGCACGTAGGCACATAGGTTTTTTCGGAAAATGTGCCTGTCGTACTGTAGAGGAACGGCCACTAAAAATCTCAGTTTGGGGTTATATCAGTTAATAGATTCTTCCGCTACCTAGATCACTTGTTGTAACGACGGTGCGGCAGCATGACTACCGGTGACTTCACCCCACCCATCTGCATTAGAAAAAGAATAATAAGACTCGCTGAATCTAAAAGTCATAAGGTTGAGATTTGACCGGCTCTATCCACGCCTCTCGTTTCCGGAATACTCTTTAATATCGCTGTTTGTGCACGCGTTGTGCACGCGGTTCGCACATGTTGTGCACAGGACCATTTTATCACGGGAGGCTATAAACATCCGCTATATTTTGTGATTTTTTAAAGAGTGTTGTTTGTTTTCGACCACACTTCGAGCCAGAGTGCTCAAATTCAGTACAAAACGTCTGAACTTTGCAAGAACATCTACTTTTTGTCTTTATTAACCCCTTTTACCCCCTCTAAGGATGGTTCCAAAGATTTGCCGACGTCGTTTCATTGTCCAGGAGTGACCTCTTGTAAGTACTCTAACGAGAAACTGCCCACCGTAATCCATCCATATGAAATTTGTGTTTTATAGTTTTGACATTCCCCTGCCGTCCCGTTTTTTAGCCCGCCCTTCTGCTTTGAAAAAGCTATCCAGCGGGCTTATGCAAACGACCTCGTCTGTGTCTGTCTGTGGGTGTGTCTTTGTGTCTGTCTGTGTGTCTGTCTGTCTGTTCCACTAGAAGGATATGTGCTAGAGACTTGAAATTTTCAGGGTATCTCAAGGTCCATCCCTTGTGAACGAAACGCCTACGGCAAATCCTGGCAACCACCCCTAAGGGTGTGAATAGGGGTATCCCAGGTTCAAAAATTCTCGCATAAAGTTTTTTTATTAATGTTCTCTTTCGGAGCAACTCGTCGAAGTAGAGCCCTTCGAACGAAATTTTCGTCCGTTTCGCTCTATCTCTAACCGTTTAGGCGCTAGAGGGTCTTCTTTGACGAAAATAAGCTAAAAATTGCCATAGTGAACAAAAAGGCCTAAAAACCACAAAATAGAACGGAAACTCTCCCCCCACCCCCAAAAAACGTATTCGAAGCAGAAGGGTGGGTTGTAGTCTTTTGGGCAAACTCAAAGACGACGGGTTTAAGCGGGCCGAAGGCCCGCTACATCCTTCGATCATTTTCCTCAGCAAATCGCGTGACAGAAATGGTCGGGCCGCTGGTCCGACCCTCACCGCCGGCACGCCAAGCGGGCCCGGCCCCTGCCGAACGTAGTTGCCGGCGGAGCGAAGTGGAGCGGGCAACTTCGTTTGGCGGAAGCGCGGGCTTGCTTGTTCTTTGATCATCTCGAGATGATCGGTTGCGTAAGCCCGCGTTATTGCTTTTTCAAGGCGGAAAGGTGGGCTATAAAAACACATGAAAAACAAGTTCGCCGAAAATTTTAGTACACCTTCAAGTATGTGCATTTTATTGATCTGAGTGTAATAAAAACCTGTATAATCGGAAGGAATTACTTGCCGTCTTTGGATTAAAAACACATCCTCCATTACGAATTGTAAACAAACCAACGAAAATATATAATAACGACTCATGCTCAAACGTGGATAGTATCATCTGTAGAGATAAGAACAGGTAGTTTACAAAGGCTATTCATACTGCTCGAAATTTCAGAGTTGGCGCCTCCCCGCATAAATCGGCTGAAAGTATATTGCCTTTGGGCCAATATTTTATACAAACCAGTTTCACCCGGGAGGGCATAACAGAAGCGCTAGGTATGTTGACTGGGACAAGTCTTACTACTTGCCGACGAGATTACTGAGAGGGATAATACCGTGACAGGCAGCCATTCGTGCTCAGGAAAGTCAGCTTTCGTGCCAACCTACCTTTTCGCCCAAGCCAGAGCAATTGTTGTTCGGCCTTGTAGAACAATCAACTCATCTACACAGCACGGAAAAAAGGTCTTTACACGTTGCATTTTTAGCACAGTGATTGCCTTTACGCCTGTTTAAGTTTCTGTTTACTGCTCTTTACTTCGTCGAAAGTGAGGACTCCACAGTTCATTTTATCACTTGAACCATGAACCATGCTAAATGGTGCGGAACGACTTTTTCAGCCCGCCCTTCTGCTTCGAAAAAGCTATCCAGCGGGCTTATGCAAAAGACCTCGTGTCTGTCTGTCTGTGTGTCTGTCTGTCTGTCTGTCTGTCTGTTCCACTAGAAGGAGATGTGCTAGAGACTTCAAATTTTCAGGGTATCTTATCCGCGGCCGCTGTTGTCGAAGCTGAAACATATACATTTCTACACACAAGAGTACTCACTTAAACAGGTGCTGTAACTTGGCGTACGTGAAACGTCAGGTGCTTTAAAACGTTCGTAATCCCTCGTTAGGGCTGCAAGGATCTTGGCCGAAGCCTACAAAAAGGTTGTCTAGACTGTCTATTTCATAATTAGGGTCAATTGGCGTCGACATTCTCCGGACTCGTAAAGCTCGCGTAATGGCGGCTGCGGCCACTTGTTTTGAGGGCTGACTTTTTAGCCCGCTCTTTTGCTTAAAAGCTATATAAGCGGGCTTATGCCATCGCCTCTGTGT